AGAAAAAGTACAATGAGGAGATCGACAAGGAAATCTTCCATGGGATTAGGATTAGGGGTAGAAGAACCCCTCAATTCAAATTCGGTACTTTCATTTCCCATCCTACATTTTCCTTTGTTTTTTATACTCTTCCAGTTCCAATTTCCCAGGAAATTGCTGAAAACAGAAAGAAATTGAAATTGTGTAATTTTGTAACGTTTCTGCTTTTCCAACCAAGTGAAGAATTCAGTAGAATTTTTAGTTGAATTTTCTGGGAAAATTTTCGTTTTTGGTGTGTTTCTATTCAGTTACCAACTCTTTTGGTACTAATCTTCCCGTTCTTTTACATAATTCTTTAACTGCTTGTACCTTATGAAGTATAAATTTTTGTTTAGATTTTATTTAATATTTTAGCAAACAAACGCAAATTTCTTTAGTTATCATAACTTAACTATGCTGTTGTCGAAAAACTTAGGCTTCTTAATCACAGTCTTGTTGTAATTCTATTGTTGAGTAATTGCAAATATTACTGTTTTTGACATTTACTATAAGTTTTCTGGTAGGAAGCTCCCATCAAAGACATTCTTTTAAGTAGTTCAGATGTAAAATTTTCAAAAAGGAAAAAAAAATCATACATATTATTGAAGCAGCAGTTTTGAATTGTTAGTACTTAGTGTTTGACTTAGCAATTAAAGTAACTTTGCAAAGCTCATGTCAATATGCTGTCAAGCTGCTTTTTTTCTTTAATATGTTATATGTTTTTTTGGCTGTGTTTAAGTTATTATTAGGCCAAGTAAGAAAACCTTGTGCTGAGATTTAGATAAGAGGGTGAATTGTTCATCCCATGAACAAGAAGTTAAAATTTAATGACGCTTTTATCTTCGACTTTCCATAATTTTTTTTCCTTTTTTCTATTTAATTTACAAAGATGCATTTTGAGGGTTTGCTATGCAAATGTGTGCAGATTGGGAGTTTTAGCACAAGATTTTCCTTGTCATCATTTGTTAAGCGGGTGGAGAAACTCACTGATGATCAAAGAAATGCCGTAAAGAAAGTGGGTTTTGGCAATCTGCTTCTCATACCAAATCAGATGCTGAGCAAGAATTTGCTAGTAGAATTGATGGAGAGATGGCATTCTGAGGAACATGGTTTTATGCTGCTTCCTGGCATGGTCAAAATTACACTGATGGATGTTGCTTTAATTTTGGGAATACGTGTCATTGGTGATCCTATACTCCTTAGAGAGGATGAAGCTTTTTCTGATCTGGAAAGTGATTATGGAGCTGCTTTATGGAAGAGAAAGATCACAGTTGCATCACTTGAAAGTAGACTTGATTCACTTGGGGAAACAGTTAATGAAGACTTTGTTCGGACGTTCATACTCTTCATGTTTGGCACTTTTCTTTTTCCAAATGCAAATGGAAAAGTGGATTCTCGTTATCTTTCTTTTCTTAAAAATTTGGATGATATTGGTCACTTTGCATGGGGTGCAGCTGTTCTAGAGGACATATTCATGTGGTTGAACAAAAGAAAGGAGTCAAATGTGCAATACGTCGGAGGTTGTCTTATACTTCTTCAAGTAAGTTCCTATAATTTATGGGTCCAAGGAGTCAAAAACCTGTGGTTTCTGCATGGATTCTTGATTCATTAAGAAGCCAGTTAAGGTTGGAAAATGTGTTATGTCCATAACAGCTTGTTGTTATGGGAAGAAAATTCTAATGATCTCTTTCCTCCTTTCTTCAATGATTGAAAAGGAAAAAAACAGGAGGCGTTGGGGGTGGGGGGTGTGGGTCTTGGGCTGTTATCTTAAATTGTCCACGGTACAATTTAAGGACGCTCAAATTGCCAATGTGACATTTTAGAAAGGTTTTGGGGACTCTAGTTTTAGATGTGCGATCATGTAGGGTTTCCTCGTGTAAGTCATCCTTAATTTACATGGTCTTTTTTATTATTGTGAATAGATATGGTCTTATGAGCACATGGACCTCGCCCGACCAGACTTGATAGATAGCTACATGACATTTCCCCGTGCATGCCGATGGGAAAATAGTCGGTCTCATCAGAGACAATGGTTCACTGCAAAATTTAGGGAATTGCAGGATCATCAGGTGCAAAGATCACTAATCATCAATTATTTTCATAGCTTTCAGATGCTAATTTTAAATTTGTATACTAGATAACATGGCAGCTACAACCAACTTCTGAGGAGTTAGAATTTGATATTGTCAATGAGTTATTGGAGGTTGAGAGTTCCAGTATAGACAACTCTTCAGATAGCGGTTCAGTTATTAGTGTGAGTTTCTTGCTTAATTGTATTTCTGCTGAAATCCTTAAACAATTATAAAGCTTTCAGTTTCTGTACTTTACTGTTAAAGGTTGTTGGACTTCAAATAGAATCAGATGTGCATCATTCCACTAAAGTACAAGTACAACAGGGAAAAAAGGTCAATTTGATGAAGCAGTTAGAACTGTCACGGTTTTTTCCGGAGCTGCAAACAATGGGCTTTCCATCAGAGTCATGTCCTGTGGCATTACACAAGGAACGTGTGGAGCTATCATCACAGTGCCAGAACTCAGAGAAATTGACTGGAGGCAAGGTGAGTTTTATGTTCTCTCTTTCCATGTTTGCAGTTGAGTTATTGGTTATGAGTTTCTTGCTTAGTTGTAGTTGTGCTGAAATACTTAAACCACTACTTAATAGTTCTTTACTGTTAAAGGTTGTTGGACTTCACCTAGAATCAGATGTGACTAATACCGGTAAGTTACTAGTACAAAAGGGACAAGAGGTCCATTTGAAGCAGTCAACGGCATTTCAACAGAAAGCAGAAGTGCAAATAGAGGAAATGGAATTTCCATCTACTTCATGTGCTTCTGAATCACATAAGGAGGTTGTCGAGCTATCATCACAGTGCCAGAACTCAGAGAAATCGACTGGTAGTGGCAATGTGAGTTTTCATCTCCTCTCTTTCTACTCTGTGTTTACAAATAGTGCAATTGACTTATTGGTGTGAGTTTTTTGCTTAGTTGTACTTCTGCTGAATTACTTAAAACAATTACTTGATAGTAATTATTTACTGTTAAAGGTCATTGGACTTCACCTAGAATCAGATGTGACTACTACCAGTAATGCACAAGTACAAGAGGGACAAGAGGTCCATTTGAAGCAGTCAATATCATCAATACAAGGAGTGCAAACAGAGGTTGTGGCTTTTCCATCACCATCATGCGTTTCCAAATTGCACAAGGAGTGTGGAGAGCTATCATCACAGTGCCAGAACTCAGAGAAATTTATGAGTGGCAATGTAAGTTTTCTCCTCTCTCTAAGTACCTTTTCATTTGTTTCATTCTTGATAGTTACTTTAAATAAACATAGATATATGATCTTTGTTCTTCAGGAGGATGAATTGATTAAGAGAAATCGGATATTGGAAGTTCAAAATATGGAATTGAGGAAAGAGATCGAAGATTTAAAATTGGAAAACAGACAATTAAAAATGTATTTCAGTTCCACAAATGATCTGGTGACTCGACTAGAAGGGCTTGTAATGGATGAGACATACTCATCATAGTTAAGATGAAAATATTTATCAAATGCTTTTCTTCTCTCATTGTTTTCATCTGCATATTTTATTAGTTGGCAACTGCACGCTAATGCCACCACTGCGTATCTATCAAATCCTTGATGATGCATGTGATCAACATTTGATTGCACTGCATGAAATGTAATTAGGTAAGCTTTGATTGTACGTAAGTAGTTTTGTACTATAATTGTGTCAACATGATTATGATGTGGGGATTTTTGTGTCTAATAGATATAAACTTGTTGCACCTAAAAGTTTCATCAACTTGTTTACTTAGCCATGTTAACAAATTAATTTTGTAGTTCAACCTTTTTAACTCATTTAAACTTATTGATTGGATAATTAATAGTATAATAGAATTCACTAATTAGTCAATTAACTATTTGTTTTTTAATTTGTAAGTCTCTAGGCTTCACCCAATTACAAGAATAATGCTTGAAATATTTCAACTAATCAAGACATATGCTTAGGTGCTGATTGGCACTGTATATGGCACGGTGGCAACCACAACCTTATACTTTGTTTATTTTTGCTACTTGTCTTTTCTTTTTGAAAGTGTAAAAAAAAAAAAAGGTGTATTAACATACAATAGTAAAAACTATTCTTAAAGGATTATAAACGAAATATCTAACTTTATTAAACAAAATGAAAATTTTTATTTGCATATAGATTGCTTATTTGCTTAGTTTTAATGAATTATGATTTGGCGTTTTACCTTTTACTTTGTTTTATAAGAGGTTTTGAAGAGGCAAAAAGCTAAAAGCCTAAAATCAAGCGTAGAAAATAACAACTAAAGATAGAAGTTATTGATTTTTTATTTTTGAACGAATATGTTGGTAAGTTGGTATAATATCTGAATGTGCCTCGATTTCTATCTAAAATGCATTTATACTTTTCAGCTTTTAATTTTATGGTGTTCAATAAAGTCTAGACACTCATATTTAAATGAAATGACAATAATTGATTTTGATGTTGGGTGCAATGCCGTCCAACGAAGATAACATACGCTGCTCGAAGCCACATGGCATTTTTAAAAAGTAAAAAATTAGTTTCTGTATGAGGAAACTTTCTTAAATTATAATTATTTAAAAAGATTTGGATTTTAAATGAAAAAATCGAGAGGTTAAAAACCAAAAGTGAACTTTGTTATTAAGGGATTAAAGCCCCATACTTGGCTTGATGTGTTTGAATGGCATGTTTTCTTTCAAATTTTCTGTCACTTTAGTTGCCAACCTGGTGAAGTAGTGAAGTACTATTAACAGAATTTGCCTTTAACAAAAATCATTGAGTTTGTATCTATTGAATGCTCTTTAATATGACTGGTGGTGACCGTAAATGTTGAGGGGTAATGTGCCATCATATTTATTGAAGGTAGTTTTAGCTAATGTGACTTGAATTAATGAAAGCAAAACTTTGAGTTTTAAGTGTGTGTCGTTAAAGTTGAATTTCCTAGTCACTGTCGTGAACTAAAAATTAGAGTGTTATACGCTGGAAAATAAAGAGAGAATTTTTAAATGAAAGTTACAGCCACCGTTCTCTATTCTATTCTCTACTTATGCAGAATTCTAACAAACAGGAATTTAGCAAATCCAATATAATCTGTGTGCTTAGATAAAAAATCATCTCTAAAGACTAGCCAACAATACAGCGCACCACACCAACCTTTTCTACGTCTTTATTATATGTCAACATGGACGGTGGTACATTGCCAATGTCAATTTGGTTTCGAGCAATCCTGCATGCCGCTTAGGATTTAATATGGTCAGCGATTTACGCTTATGATGTGTGGCCTTGTAGGGTTATCCTTTCTTTGCCCTTTCTTGTTAAAATTAAATTTATTGAACATCAACGTCGCATGATTGCACATGATCGAGCTGAGGCTACCTCTTGGGAAGAAGCCTGACTTAAAAACTTTTTCTAACAAAGCATTAGATCTTCTCTGCTTTTCTTCTTCTTATTTGAAGCGAACATGCATATATTGTGTACTATGTATGATATTAAAACTAATGTTTTCGGCGAAGTTACTGGCAAGCCTGTAGCTGTTGGAATTTTCGAATGATTATGGTAAGGATCTAAATCTAATATTGTTTCGTTTTGAAATGATCCTTCGTGGTAAGGGGAAATTAAGCCACGATTATGCATAATTGTTAGTCATTTGATCGTTGGTATAATGGAATTTTCCTGGACACAGTTGCAGAAAATGCAGTCCTTTTAAATGTAAAGACCTGACTAAACTTAATAGATCATTAGAGATAAAGATTACATTTGAACGCGCAAACTGGATCTAATTTCAGGTTTTGGGAAGCTGAAAACAACACCAAGACAGCTTCTCTTCACCACATTAGTGACAAACACTATTAGTACACTAAAGCTCCCCTAGAGAGAGCCCCTGTTGGACTCAAACCGCCCGCTTATTTCTCCGTACTTGATCCTGCTGAGCCTACTCGGCACTCGCTGATCCATCAACCTCACTGCACCCTGCGACACACAGCAATCAAATACAGAAATTATTATACGATTTGTTATTAAGCTATAGGATGCAAAGGGATCATCATGCTAGAGTTCATATATACTTGTTGCAGTCGGTGGAGGGGCTGATGGTGTAAGGAAGATGGAGACCACATTTGCCAGGGAGGCCGGCTGCCTGACCAAGGTTGAAGTTCGAGTACGAGAATCCATTGACAGCTGATTTGATACACTTGCAGACATTCTGGCGGTCAGCTGAGGTCTGTGCCTCACCGTAGAGCGTCTTGACCCCATTGCAGCAAGTGTTTGGCAGTGGTCCGCCATATTGTACGTAGGAAACGCACGGGGTTAAGTCCCTCATCACGTCGCCGCACGTCACTGCTGCTCTGGCCTGCAGGGTTGCACTCACCACCATGCACACAACGAGCATCAGGGAAGCCAACTTCAGGACCCCAGAACTAGCCATGATAACTCTGTTTAGCAACACTCTGAACAAATTCTTTTTTTGGCTCAAGTAGTTGGTTAGAAACCTCTATTCTTCTCCTTGGACGCTACTCTTGAGTTCTATCCACTCCAAAGCTGGTGTTTATATAGGGAAGTAGAAGCAAAGTGGGGATGGCTTGGCTAGTTCAGATAGATATGTATTACATATAGTTTCGTTAAGAAACGTAATTGGTAGTTGGGTTTAATTTATTGCTTTGATGGATACGGTTGAGTAATTAAATGCTGTTATCAAAGATGGAACAGATCTGGATTCAAATAAATACCCATCAATTACCGCGTCAGAAGCAAAATTTTTCAAAAGAAATTACTCCAACCATGTCAACTGAATAGTAACCGTACCATCATGTCATAATTTATCTTTTTATTACCATTATTATAATAAATATGTACACACCACTTCTTTAATTAAACTATCTTATTTTCGTTTATCATTTACAATTTCATTTTATTTTTATTATACATTATCAAGAGCAAGGCTCACATCGTTTGGTGTTTAAACCCAATTGCATTTTCATTGTACATATTTTGTTTTTGGACCTTGTTAGTTTGAACTATATTATCCTAAGTCTCGTGTAGCCTTGGGTTTTGTTTAGATCTCATCAAGTCCAAGTGGTGGGAGTCTCTTTACAGATAAAAACTACAGATTATTAAAATTATAACAATTATAAAAATATATATAATTAAAAGAAAAACGAAAATGAAAAATTAACAGGATCTGAGGACTTGCTCCTTCCAGTCCCATCGATCCCTTGGAGTAGGTTTAATGCAGAGCCAAGAAATTAAGGAAAAATCTTCTGGTCCTTCCTCGAACCCAAACAACAGTCTCAATGTCAGACCAAAATAACGCAAGGATAGAGACAAGATGCAGGTACAACCGACTCTATGATTGGGCTAAACCCCCTCTTCATTGTCGCCTTTGCCCCCTTTTGCCCTCAATCCCCACAATCCAGACCTCCGATCAAAAAATATAATTTTTATAATCTTTTCTAATCCTTTTAATAAAATTTTAAAAGTTTTTTTGATTTTTTAATTTTTAAAAAAATTATCACTTACAATTTTTTTAAAATTCCATCATTAGTTTACCTCCATTAACTTTCATAATTAAAAAGACACGTATATAATATTCATATTATTGTACTTATTTAGAAATAATTTTCTTTGTGAAAATGAATACTCAGATTCTCCCCCTCTCGCAGCATTTTTGATAAGATCTTATAATTATTTTTACTTAAAATTTTTTTTAAAAATTGTCATTTACTATTTTTTTAAAGAATTCTCGATTAGGAAAGTTTTATCTAAATGACCATCATTTTTCATTTTTGTTCAATTCATTCAAATAAGACTTTTAATTTTATCACTTTTATTATTTTTAGATTACTATATCTTAAACAATTTCATAATTTAAAAAAATGAATATAAATAAAAACTGGATGGGTTACATAAAATGATATAGAAAATATATCTCACACTATTGGGCTGTCAACCTAAAAATGTGGGCTAGAAGGCAAACATAATAGGCTTTGAGGACCTAGGTTGCGTGGGATCAAGTTTGACCCATTTTCTCCTTTCGTTGCTCCAAAACGGGGTAGTTTTGAGGGGCCATAGAAGTCCTAAAAACTCTTTTTTTTTACTTCATTTTTTTACTCTTTTTTCCTCTCTAAATTTCCATCTTCTCTCTCTAGTTCATCCTAACCAAGATTTCGAAGGTGTTCCACCGTCTTCATGGAAGTTGCTATATATTGAGTAAACACAAAAACCCCTATCTAATAGGCTCTAATTTTATTGTTTCAAAATGCATTGATAGGTCTTTTAACTTTTTATTACCATTAGTGAACAATTATTTATAAATATAAAAAATTATAATTACTTCCAAATAATTAAAAAATAAAAAAATATAAAATAATTTAATTAAATAATAATTTAAATACTTTTATTCAACGGGTGTCAATATAAAAAATAAAACGAAAAATTGTTCTACTTTTGTTTCTTAGCATATCTATGCTCAAATCTATTTCACATTAAGACTTTAGTCTTAGTTATCATTACCTTTTAAGTGAGTTTTTCGTTTTTATTTTCTTAAATAGTTATACACATTTCAAAGTAAAAAAACAAAAAAAATAACAAAGTGCAAGTACCATCTTCATCGTCATCGTCTTCGATTAAATCCGTGAAGAC